TATTTTTGGAATACAGAACAAATTTGCATAGCTCCAACTTTTATTACGATGTTTATAAAGCCCAATAAAAAATGTCTGTATACGATTTGTCTTGATTTTTAAAGACAAGATGTTATGGCATTGTACCTTTTTTTATTTTTTAAAGGAAAGCTTTATGAATAAAAATTCTTATGTTCAATTTGTTGTTTTTTTGTGTAATTTTTTGCAGTAATCTTCAAATATGGACTTTAAACCCAATTGTATTGACTATATGGTGGAAATAATTGTTTCCTTCTGAAATTACAAAAAAATATGTACTATAGGCACCAAAATAACTAGCTAAATTAAACAGGTTTTGTGTGTAGATCATGTCCCTGCAGTCTTACTGCTCAATTATCTGCCATTTTGGAATTAAATCTCTTTGTTTATAGAGGCCTAGACACACCTTCCTGCATGTGACTTGCACAGCCTTTCTAAACACCTCCTTTAATGAGACTTCTATTGTTCAAACTTACCTTATTGCGCAGTTTGTTTAATTTAGAATTTCTCATCTCCTGCTCTGTTAATAGCCTTATAGACCATGCCTCCTGTGTGTGCTTTAAATTAAATTTACAGAGCAGGAGATAAAAAAAACTTTTAAAGCAAGTTAACATCTCATTGAAAATGAACCCATATTTTTAACTCCTAAATAGCAGAGAATTGAGCAATGAGACTGAAGGGGCTTGATCAATACATCAAAATTGCTTAAAGGACCACTCTAGGCACCCAGACCACTTCAGCTTAATGAAGTGGTCTGGGTGCCAGGTCCAGCTAGGCTTAACCCATTTTTTCATAATTATAGCAGTTTCAGAGAAACTGCTATAATTATGAATGGGTTAAGCCTTCCCCCTAATCCTCTAGTGGCTGTCTCATTGACAGCCACTAAGAGGCGCTTGCGTGCTTCTCACTGTGATTTTCACAGTGAGAGCACGCCAGCGTCCATAGGAAAGCATTTTAAATGCTTTCCTATGAGACCGGCTGAATGCGCGCGCAGCTCTTGCCGCGCGTGCGCATTCAGCCGGCGGGGCGTAACGGAGGCGGAGAGGAGGAGGAGAGCTCTCCGCCCAGTGCTGGAAAAAGGTAAGTTTTTACCCCTTTCCCCCTTCCAGAGCCGGGCGGGAGGGGGTCCCTGAGGGTGGGGGCACCCTCAGGGCACTATAGTGCCAGGAAAACGAGTATGTTTTCCTGGCACTATAGTGGTCCTTTAATTAAGCAGTTTTGATGTATTGATCAAGCCCCTTCAGTCTCATTGCTCAATTCTCTGCTATTTAGGAGTTAAAAATAGGGATCATTTTCAATTTTTTATTATTTATATAGCGCCAGCAAATTCTGTAGCGCTGTACAATGATACCATATTGCTATTACAAGAAATACACTATATAGTGGTCACCACAAAAAGGACTCCGTTCCTAAATGGGGCCAAAAACTCACAAAGAGATGTATGCGGAGCAAAAAAAGGACACAAGAATTAAAACATTCGTTAATAAACAGAGAAAACTAACAGCCATGCATAGAAAAGAGTACAATTTATTTACATGCTATGTTTTACACTACCTTTCTTTTCACATTTTGTATCACAGAATGTCTGTTTCCAACACAATAAATATGTAACATAACACATTGCACAAATAATAAACACAGAAAAGTGTATAGACGCTTCTTAAAGTGGATATCTAGTGTGTGTTAAATGTACAGTGTGCGCCCCCAGCACTCAAAATAACAGTAATAAACAAGCACCAAAAAACACCACAGTGTCACCCACTAATAATCTTAAATATCAGTGGTGGTATAGCCAGATTCCATAGATATAAATGGATAACCTAAGAGAAAACATATATTCCATAGATATAAATGGATAACCTAAGAAGGTAAGACAGCACCATGGGACTTTAGGCACCATAACCACATTTTTGGTGCCTGCACAGTGGAAAGCAAAGAGTAAGTCTGCAAATTACAGAAAATTGGCTGCTGACATGCACTTTCTGCAACCTTACTTTATCAGTAACAAACCAAAGAGAAACAATGGAGTATGGGTGAATTCGTGCTAGTTACAAATGTGAAAGTGAATAAAACAACAGAAATAACATTACCTTGATGGGGAATTAACCACAATTTATTTTCTGGGAAGCAAGAAATTTTAGACAAATATTTACTAACAACTTTCTAAATTAGGAAAAATCAAATGACTTTTTTTTTTTTTTAAATTGTAAAGGTTTTTATTATTGTCGTAGTTGTGTAGGGTGTAAGTTAAGACAAAGCCCAAACAGAAATGTTAAGTTTTTTCATCCAAGAAAATCACAAATCAGGAACATAATATTCAATCCCTGATTACATGCAATACAGTAATGTTATTTATTTACTCATAAAAAGTAGTAATATACTGGCGCTCTATAAAAAAACCTAATTATCAAACAATATGTAACAATGATTACATACTAGCTGCTGTATCACCATGTGTAATCTTTCCTTATACACTAATCACAAACACATACAAATAACAAAAGGTGAAGCGCTACATACAGATCGAAATCCAATTCTTTAGTTGTCACTCTTGTCAACCAATATTTTCCCTGAATGGTGTGTAAATCTTATTCTGAAAGAGAAATTAAATACTCATAGTGCAACACTGTAGATCAAAAATTATTACAATAGTAACTCTATATAGGGAACCACTCACATATTACTGAGCTTACACTAGTTTTTTGGTAATAAGATACTCTTTTGTAATTGTTAATAGAGTGAGTCAACTTAGCAGAAATTGACACTTTTATTGCTAAATATAGATCTCATTGTAGAGAAGAAAAAGGATATATTGTTCTATAATTATGATATGCATTTTAAGAATTTTAATGTATTACATTACAGTTGTATTTTAAAGATGTTATTATGATATATAGTTTTCCCTAACGAATTGTTTTCTATTTGGGGGGGAGTGCAAGTTTTGCAATGTTTTTATTTTATTTGAATTATTATTATTTATGGATGTGACATTGGCCGCTGTGTGAAATCTTTGTGAGGGGGGATTTCGTTGATGTGGAGATTTCTCCGGTGGCTGCTTTCTTTTTTTTACCCCTGTAATCCTGTTATGGACACAAACAAATACTGGACACGATAGATTAAGGGGAGATCGCGGGACTGAAGCATGACGTCATATGCGGAAGTGAACACAATGAGAGGGAGGCTTGGAACGCACGCAGTGCCGGCCGAAAGGAAAAAATACCAGCGCGCCAAAAGACAGCTGAACGCCGAGCTCAAAATTATGGACAAGGTATAATAGCAGGACTCCTGTTAGTAGGAGGATTTCATTGTGATTTTTCACCTAGCTGAGGAAGCCGACAGTAGTTTGGCGAAACGCGTCCTGGGGACTGAATTATCATCACCTTTATGCCCATTTTGTTATATTATTGTTATATTACTTTTTATATATATTTTGTTTTTATATATTCTAATTGGCCATTAGAATTTTAAATTCAGTACACAATAAATATTTGTATTATCTTTATTGGGCTATTGGTTCCTGCTATATAGGTGTGTAGTCCTTAACTACACAACGTGCTGAAAAAGAGCCTAAGAGAGTGGCTCCAGATTTGTGAGTATAAATATATATATCTTTCTATACCAATACGGATTCCAGACTATATTGCACCATATATATTTCTGTTTGAGCTCTAGCCACAGCGTGAGATTTGCTTTTTGGATACAAGAAGAGGAAAGGTCGACTTTACGGACCTGAAGGCGCATACCCCTGAGCTTGGCTGTAAGCTCAGTAATATGTGAGTGGTTCCCTATATAGAGTTACTATTGTAATAATTTTTGATCTACAGTGTTGCACTATGAGTATTTAATTTCTCTTTCAGAATAAGATTTACACACCATTCAGGGAAAATATTGGTTGACAAGAGTGACAACTAAAGAATTGGATTTCGATCTGTATGTAGCGCTTCACCTTTTGTTATTTGTAGTTATTTATTTACTCACCTGTACATGTGGTTACCAATACGCAGGCAAGACAACCAAGAAATTAAAAGTACGCCTACGCGAACATATTACTAATATAAAAAATAATTTTTTGAACCATAGTGTATCAAAACATTTTGCCGAAAAACAGAGGAAACCCAGAAGGTCTAGAATTTTTAGGGATAGAAAATAAAATGTAAGTCCGCTGGAGAGGGGGGGGGGGGGGGGGGTTGTAACGATAGAATTGTAAGCAAATCCAAGTTGAGATGAATGTTTAATCTTGACATCCTAGGTTTGAATGTGGACTTTGAAATAACTTCATTTTTGTAATCATTTTGTTTTATTTTACACTCCTTATATTTATAAATAAAATTTATATATGAGTTTTAAAAGTATTGGTATGTTTTATTATTATTTATTTTTATATACTACCTTTCTTAAGCCCATTTTTCCCCTGTTGCCTCTTATTCATTATGTCTTTGAGGATTTTTTATCTTATGGAATGTTTGTTTATATGTATTTTAATGTATTTTATATATATATATATATATATAGTGTTTTTATGGATATACTATGCAAGCTCCTCTTCCAATTATTAGAATGTACAGACTTGATTCACGTTGGACTTTGTTTACAAGTCAGCGCACATGCGCATTGATAGGAGACACTCTAATGAGTTTCATGCTGGATTGTCGGATTTAACCCGATCATGTGATCAGATAAGCTGTAAATACGTCACCAACGAGAGCGGGCACCGACCCGGAAATGATGCACCCGGAAGTGACATACTCTGATACGGCAAAGATCACAGGTGAAGAGAGAAAACGCGCCTTTTTGGGATATTTAAGAATGGACAGTAATCTGGAGACATCACCAAGCACTTTGAGAAAGACTGTTGTGTCGAAATGCATTAGTGCAGTTGTTTATTGGAGATCTTTATTTTATTATATATTTTTATTCATCTTCTTAAAGTTTCTTCTGGCTACCTTTTACCAACCCCCCCTTTTTTTTGTTCTCTGGCAATCCAAGGGGGAGATTGAGTATCCAGTGGAATATTCCAGTATCTGGTTCCAGTACTTGATCTTAGCAACCAACTATATATATATCCCAAGGCGCTTAAAGTCTGAGCCCACTCTAAATGGCTCAGTACCATGTGAGTGGGACCAATTAGTTTTAATCTGTTTTAAAGTGTTGTATACAGATTTCACTATGATCTGTTTTTTTTTTTGTTTTTTTTTTAGGTTTTATCCTATTTGATGGTAATTTGCATGTGTAGGTTATTTCATACATTTTTAGTGTGCTCTCACCAACTTTTTATTCACTTTATAGTATTTTATTTTGTGTGGTTTGGGTGACCTACACTAGGTGATTTGAGCATTTCTTCTTCTTTTTTAACCTTTTTTTTTACCTATTATACAAATGTAAAAGTGCAGCTACCCAGAATTACCCTCCATTGATCTGTACCCTAGCACACGATGTAGAACACTGCATGGACAAAGCCATCTCTTGTATAGGCAGACTCCACTCAATAAAAATGAACGTACTTCCTAGATTATTGTTCTTCTTCCAGACACTACCAGTGAAGCTCACACAGGCAGATTTGATGGGCCTGCTATAGACACATTCATCCAGCACAAAAGACACCCCAAGATAGCATGTAATACACTATATAGACCAAAGAACAAGGGAGGGTTAAGCCTACCACACCTATACTATTATTATCTCGCAGCACAGGTAGTCCAGATTGTGCACTGGCACTCTCCACCCGACACCAAGTCTTGTGTGGACATTGAATCTCTCCTGATGGGAGCAGATCTTCCCCAGTTTATTATGTGGCTCCCCAAAAAACACTGAGCCTTCCTGAAGACCAGTTGTCTGGCAGTCCTAAACTCCCTCCGAATCTGGGACTTAGCCTCAAAATACTCTCTTAGTAACCCCGTTTCTCCAATGACCACAATACTCCAAAACAGAGCCTTCCTGCCAGGAATGAGAGCAAGAGATTTTAAGAGACTTGAATACACAGGATTTCAGAAATGTGTAAATCTGTACATAGACAAGGCCACAGTCACCTAAAAGAATTAGCTCCCCTGCAGACTAGAGACTACTTTCGAAATGTAAAAATATGGGACTTTACACAGAGGAAAGATATTAGGATAGCTGCCAACACCACTATGACATCCTTCAAAAGAATATGTTTTAAAGAGACACCTCCAACAGGTCTAATATTGTTGATCCATTAACATTTACACGCAACCTCAGCAGTTGGGTTGAGATATACCAAATAATGGGAAACCGACCTGGGTGAGGTTCTGGAGGGTATAGAATGGGAAGACATATAGGAGGCATGCGCACAATCTTCCATGTGTGTGACATTACAAGAACAATCATTCAAAACGCTTTTCAGATGGTTTACCACCAGTGTCAAACAATACCACATGAAATTAAGCCCTGCAGACACATGCTGAAGATTTTGCGGCAATAGAGGAAGCTACATACACATGTGGTGAAATTGCCCCAGGGTAAGAGAGTTCTGGGAGAAGGTAGTAGACCTGAGCTCTAAGATTATGCAAAGACGGATGGAAGTCAACACATGGGCGTATCTCTTATCTAGGTCCACAGAGGGATTACCCAGGCATGAACAAAAACTGCTCAACATGATTTACTTAGCTGCCCGGAAAGCCTTAGCACAAAACTGGATAAGCCCAGACTTGCCCTCTCTCTCAATAGTCCTCACCAAGATTAGGGACAATCACTTAATGGACAACCTGACATCACTAGTCAGCAACACCACCAAAACTTTCCATAAGGTTTGGTTTTTATGGGAACAATATGGTGTATAATTGGGCACGAGCCATGCTCAGAGGGAAAGGGAATAGGATGAGACGAGCTCTTCCAGTGCTGCTGGATACTCATCACCGAATTCTCTCACTGTTAACTATCAAATTTGTGAGGTGCAGTATTTTTACATATCGATAACCAACCTCACTAGTGGAGACGGTAAACATAACCACGTAGTACTCCATATAGTGATCTGTTGGTTGCTCTTGCTCTTCCTTTTGAAAGACAATCAGGTGGCAGCTAGTAAGGAATTTGGGCACCGGAGCAGCGCAGGAAACCTTGGGGGAGGGGGCCAGCTGGTCGGGGGTCATGGCTCATGGCCCACAAAGGAGCCCCGGCCAGTGGACGCTCAGTAGTACATGTGGACGCTGGGTGGGGTGATTCTGGGAGGGATAGGGAGACACAGGCCCCCTCATCTTCCACTCTAGAGGTAGTAGTGGGGCCAATTATATGGTACGGCTTACGGCACATCCCAGAACGATATATAATAGTGCAACGCAGGTATGTCATATGTTAAAAGTTATGTGTTTTTTCTTTTTGCATTTTTATCTCCATCAAAATGTGAAAACCTTTGACAGTATGTACCAATACCTTTAATGCCAAAGCAAGCAATGACAAATGTTATAAAGATGCAACACTACCTCTTTGTAAACCTTCTACCTTAATGTAACAAACATGATTCGGCTTTTGCATAAGCCTGTTTATAGATGATATACTGTATCTGCTGTCAATGCAAAAATAAAGAATTTAAAAAAAAATCAAATACAAAAGAACATTAACTTGGACTTTTTAAAAAAAAAGCAACTTTTTGATAATTGTGATGTTTTATAAAGAATTTATGGTTAGTATCGTTTATAAAGGGGTCTGACATTTTAGTTATTACACCTTAATACCCCACTTGAATTTATCTTTTGTCCCTGTACAGAAATGGGTTCAAGCTTGATGGTCAGATTTAAACACAAAATAATATTTATAGACCACCCAGGTGCAGTATGTGAGCAATCAATACAAAAAGGTAGTTACCCTTTTGGATACAAGGTATAGCAGAAGGATTCCTCTCAATCTTCAAATACAAATAACAAACAACTGGATTTACCTAAAAACATAAAACGGAGAAAGAACTCATAGAATAATAATGTCATTTACAAAAACCCCAGAATTCAAGGTTCCACACAGAGTCACAGAAAATTCAAGCTCATCAATAGTATGTAGGTTTCACCAGAGTATTCAGGTTCCAAAGGTTCATGTGAAATTTTTTTTAAAGAAACATAGTGCAACACTGATATAAAGTTAAAAACGCTTGCTTTAATGGATACACTTACAAAGAATAAATAGATTAAAAGCCCATCAGAATAATCCCGTGGTCCCCAGTCCTGGTTTAGGTAGTAAAAGTGACAGGAGTCTCCACAGGTACCGAAGCAAACAAAACAGCAGCATATAAAAAAAATCAAATGACAATCATATAAATAAAATAAAAATAAAAGCTCAGTCTACGCGTTTTGTCTAAGAGCCATAGACTTCATCAGGAGTATTAGTGCATATAATACTGTAATGTGTGGAAACCGGAACTTCTTTTAAATGTCCCTCTTTCATGTGTGGGTTTGTTCGTAGCCAATCCCTTTGTTTCTTCACACATGATCGTATTACCTCCAATGGCTGCAATCCGTATATGGAGTTCCGGTAGTATTTTCTTGAAAACGAAAATCTTAATAATGTAACAAAAGAATTGGAAAAATTGGATGAAAGTAATATTTTTGATAAAAAGAGTCCTGATTATTTCCAGAAGGAAAAAATCTTGTACAAGACGGTACAAAAAATAGATGAGAAAATTGCTGAAACTTCTTTTCCATCAAAAATAAAAACGAAAATAGGAATCTAGTAGTGATCACTATAATCGTTTTGATCCCAATAGGAGTAAGTTTGACTATAACCACAGAAATGACTCTTTTAAAAGAGCAGATAGAATTAACAAGACCCTTCCTCCAGTTTAGGAGGAATAAATGTTCCCACAGATAGCAGATAGAATTAACAAGACCCTTCCTCCAGTTTAGGAGGAAGAAATGTTCCCACACACAACTATTCACAAAAAGAGATCTTTTTCGCATAATACTTCTAACGAAGAAATTAAGCCCAATATTGTCAATACTACATTGCAGGATCATAACTCCCACAGCAGAGATTTCTTAGAGAGTGGCCGAGACCCAAAAAGAAAAAAGAAAGAAATCACCCAATACTTTTCTTTGAAACTCCCCAGAGGCAGTTTGACTAATCGTTTCGCAGAATAGAGAACAGAACACTCCAACAAAAAGGAGGAGGACAAGTGTAGAGATGGGAGATTAAGTTTAGAACAACGCACAAAAGATGAATCTTTGGGAATATTTAATATTTTTCAAGTATCCCTTACCGTACAGGAATGTAAGATTCTAGGTAAGGGCCTAAAATACACTCCCAATGTCCCCTCTAATCCATTTCAAGTTTACGTAGACATGCAAAAGTTCATTAGAAAAATGTGTTTATAAAGAGGAAACTAGAAAAAACTAGGGATATTGATAGTAATCCAACTAGTGAACAGAACCCGTTTAAACACTTCAAGTTACCGTCTACTTTCTGCCCCTATGAGAAGGGCAGTCAAACTGAAGTGTTCAATAAAATGGTCCAAAAGGATCTAGACAGACTAACCCAAAAGAAAGAATATTGCAATAATTTGACAAAAAAAAGATATGGAAGTTTTGAACCAATTAAAAGAAAGAGACAACATTATTATTAAAAATGCGGACAAAGGAGGGGTATAGTGGTTATGTCCGTTGACTATTACTTGGACGAGGCATACAGACTATTGGGGAATACCAATATATATATTAAACTCCTTAGCAATCCCAACCAGAGGTTTAAAGATGAACTAGGCATCCTGTTGGAGGAAGCTTTAAAAAGTGAGTTATTGATACACAAGTTTATAAGTTTTTGTACCAGGAATTCCCAAGGATTCTGACCTTTTACTTTTTCCCGAAAGTGCACAAATCTAAAGAACATCCACCAAATAGAAGAATGGGACAGTTAGAGATGAAATGGATTTTTAATCTAAACACACTAATTCCGGGCGATCTCAATAATGATTTTGAGATATGCCATTTTATTTAAATATTCTATATGAGCAGATTACAGTTTTCCCTCTACCTGTCCTACCCTATCAATTTTTAGAATATTTTTTAGATTTTTTTAGTGATATAGTTCCTTCATTCTTAAGGATATTAAACCCATATAGGATAGTTAGATGTATTTTTCCCTTTTTACTAAATATGTACTTCTAATATGCACTTTCACTTCAAACTATGTTACTCATATTTTTATCTTATATAAATTTGTGTTATTTAAGAGAGATATTAACTCTTGATTTTTATAATCCCCTTTATCTACTTTTTAATTCATTTATATCAAAATTGGAGATAAGGGGGGGGGGGCGTGGCCAACCGCCGAGCAACCTGGCTGCTTAGGAAATTGCTCCGGCACCCGGGCTCTCTCAATCCGCTACCATCCACTGTCAGAACGCGGGGAAACCCTTCAAAACTTACCATGTCGCAGCCCAAGGGGAAGAAGAACAACCAGAAGGCTGAAAAACTTAGCTTTTTCAACCAAAAATCGGCGGCAGTCTCTGAAACTGATCGGAGCATAATCCAAGATGGCGCCGACGAGATACCGGCGGGAAATATTCAGCAGGCTAACTCCCATCAAGGAGAGCAAGAAAACCTGACTAGAGCACACCTAGAGGATGCATTAAACAACATGGCAGAAAAACTTGTGAAAACATGGCAATCCTCAATAGAACTACTTCGCAAAGAAGTTCAAGACATCGGGACCAGAACAGCGCACGTGGAACATAAACTCAGTGAGTTTGCCACAGCACACAACGAGGTGGCAGACCATGTGGCGGCCTTGGAACACAAAGTGGAAGCCATGGAGGCCCGCATGGCGGACGCAGAAGACCGGTCACGGAGGAACAACCTGCGGCTGCGGGGAGTTCCAGAGACTGTCCTCCCTTGTGACCTGCAAACCTATGTACGAGGCCTCCTTAGGGCGTACGCCCCCGACATACCCGTGGACATGCTCCTGGTGGATAGAGTACACAGGGTCCCCAAACCCAGGAACCTACCGGACAACATACCCAGGGACATCCTCCTCAGGGCACACTACTTCCACATAAAGGAAGCCGTGCTGCGCGCTAGCAGGAACAGAGCGGACCCACCAGAAGAATTTGCAAAAATCAAAATCCTGGCAGATCTCTCTGCAGCAACTTTGAAACGCAGAAAAGAATTCCATGCAATCACCGACGAATTGCGACAAGCTGGGATCAGATATCGCTGGGGATACCCCACCAAACTACTGGTCACAAAGAATGGAGGACTGACAATTATTCAAACTCCCGAAGGCGGAGTGAAACAAATGCGCGAATGGGGACTTATGAAAGACTCCACTCACACGCCAGCAAGCCCAACGGGTCGTCTAACACCAGAATGGCGACAAATCCCGATGAAATCCAGGCTGCCATGAGATCCGGCGATACGAAACCCTTATCCGATACAACCTGGGAGCACGTGAGATAACTGTACACACCAAAATCTAGCTTAAATATCATATTATAGCCAAGATTAATCGTTTCTGATTAGCATGTTGTTGTTATTGTTACTGCAGTGTTTATATGTGAAATGTTATTCACCTTGTACCATACATGATATCCTCACCTGCTTATGATACAGGCAAGCTTACCATCCTTAAGAAACAAAGGCGAAGCACTAAGGCGAAGCAGGGACCCATAGTTAAACCACAAAACAGGGTCTCCACCACCCGAGGTACTGCGCAGCGCCCTGGATACTTCCTGTGGCGCCTTTAAAGAAGGCCCGCTCCAAGTACTACCAGTACCCCTGAGCGAGTTACCCCAGTTTTAACTACCCACTTATATACTCAGCGAAAAACGCTACCATACCCCCCCTAACGTTCTGACACATCTGTAAATGTGACAATATGAGAGCCCATTGGCCACACTACCAGAGACGCAACCCGAGCGTCCAACCCCCATGGCACTGAGCCTCAGGGCCAGGACCCCAAGTTGGGTCACTCTGTATATACTTTTTTTTACGTTAACCCCCAACACCCTCCCTACACTACCCATAACTCCCAGGCTCCAAGTCACCGCTCTAAGACTGCCCAACAGGCAGCACGTTGATCTAACACTATCTACCAAGTTGCCCACTGTGGAAATAACAAGCCCACAAACGAGCTATCTCTACCATACATCTATAACATGAGAATATATTCACATAACAGTAGGGGGTTGAATACACCCCACAAAAGACGCATGGTACTGGAGGAGGCTAGAAAGAATAAAGCAGATATCATCTGCCTTCAAGAAACACACTTTGTCACCTCCAAGGTGCCAACATTTGGTATGAAGGACTATCCCCACCAATACCATGCCACCCACTCCTCAAAGTCGAAAGGAGTATCGATCCTTCTTCACGCTTCACTAACTGTAGAAATCTTACGAGTTAAAACAGACAGCCAGGGGAGATATGTGATGCTTCAGTGCCTACTTAATGGTTCCCCGTACGTTGTAATTAGCTTCTACAGTCCAAACGTGCATCAACGTAATTTTCTGCATAAGGTATTATCTATGATCCCAGACCACCAAACGGCTGCTACCATACTATGCGGGGACCTGAACCATCCTTTAGATCCCAATATGGACACCACGCTAAATCCCACAGCCCCTAGACAGGCAACACTACGACCACAAAGCAAAGCCCTAAATAAACTGCTGGGGGAATACGGACTATATGACTCATGGAGAATGTACCACCCGACCGAAAAATCTTTCTCATACTATTCGGCAGTACATAAATCCCACTCGAGAATAGATTTCATTTTTATTGCAGGCACCCTCTTACCTAAGGTCACTGATAGCAACATTGGGGACATCACCTGGTCGGATCATGCCCCGACCATGGTAGAAATATCTGGAGAATACCAGCACAGGGGGCGGCCACCTTGGCGCCTAAACGACTCACTCCTCCACGACCACACCTTTTCTCAAACACTAACGGATGCCCTGTGCACATACTTCCAAATAAATGACACCCCAGACATACACCCAACAACACTATGGCAAGCCCATAAGGCGGTAATACGAGGCTTATTGATCAGTCGAGCGTCCTATGTAAAGAAAAAAGCCCAAGAGGAATACCTGAATCTGCTGCGCACCCTAAGAGATGCTACTGCGGCAAACATAATGAACCCTACCCCGCAACAAGCACAGATAATCAAAGACACCACAGCACACCTCAACAACATAGCACTAGCAAAAACTGCACACATCCTACACAAACTAAAACAAACTTCATACTCCCAAGGCAACAGAGCAGGTAAACACCTGGCAACCTTACTGAGACAAAAACAATCCAACGCCAAAATACCCTATTACTTACAAACAAAGGAACTAAAATCCACAATCCACAGGACATTAACGATACTATGGCGACATACTACCACTCACTATACAACCTCAAGGACGATCCAGACTTACACCAACCCACCCCCTCAGACATACAAGACTTCCTCCGGCAAACCACACTACCGGCACTTTCAGCTCAACAAAAAACAACTTTACAAAACCCAGTCACGACACAAGAAATCCAACATGCCATCCAATCTCTCCCTCACGGGAAGTCGCCAGGACCTGACGGCTTGACAAATTCCTATTACAAGTCACAGACCGCATCCCTAGTCCCATACCTAGAGAGGTCCTTTAACCATATTATCACAACCGGCCAGATGCCCCAGGAAATGCTCATGGCGCATGTGGCCACACTGCCAAAACCAGGCAAACCCCCGACCAAATGCCAGAACCTAAGGCCAATATCTCTCCTCAACACCGACACTAAACTACTAGCCAAAATATTCTCGAATCGTCTAGCAAACATCATACCGACCATAATACATAAAGATCAGGTAGGCTTTGTCAGTGGTAGACAGGGGGCAGATGGAACCAGGAAGGTTTTGGACTTGCTAGGGGGGGGGTGTGGAGGGGGGGCCCAATGTGTACTCCTGTCGCTTGATGCAGAAAAAGCCTTTGATAGGCTGCACTGGCCCTTCCTCCGCGCGGTCCTCAACACATATGGCTTTCCTGATAACTTCCTAAAACTGGTAGAGGCACTGTATTCCAAACCGACTGCGAAAGTCACGAACGGAGGCTTCATCTCCAAACAATTCAACATAACCAATGGAACGCGGCAGGGATGCCCGCTCTCTCCTCTATTATACATTCTATCCCTGGAGCCGCTCACACAGCTCATCAGGGACAACCCGAACATACATGGTATCACTAAACAAGGCAAGGAGTACAAACTTACACTATTTGCGGATGACGTGCTACTAACGTTGGAGCAACCACATATTTCCCTGCCAAACTTTCATTCTGTCCTATCCCAATACAGCAAATGTTCACACTATAAATTAAATGTGACCAAAACCCAAGCAATGGGCATAAATATTCCCACTGACACATTAGAGAGCCTACGCAACTCCTTTCACTATGACTGGAGAACTGACTATCTAAAATTCCTAGGAATTAACATCACACAGAAGCCAGCCCTATTATATAAAACAAACTACCAAAAAACACTGTCCGATATAAAAACAGTGCTAACAGGATGGAAAGGTAAATACATCTCGTGGTCAGGCAGAATAGCTGCGATCAAAATGATTGTTTTACCGAAACTACAATATTTATTCAGAACACTGCCAATAAAACTACCCCCCCGTTTCCTTCAGGAAGCATAACAAATACTAATGGAATTTATATGGGACAAGCACAAACCACGGGTAGCAAAAAGCACACTATACCTGCCGCGGGAGAAAGGGGGGATGGGCGTACCCAATCTAGATAGCTACTATCGTGCAGCCATACTGAGTCCACTCTTAGCAGCATGCCACAGAACTCACCCAACTCCATGGGAAGAGATAGAGACATACCATGCAAACAACACCCCCCTAACAATATTAGCATGGCTCCCAAAAACCCACAGACCATCGACAAACGTGATGCTCCCAGTCACAGCACTAACACTGCACATTTGGGACACACACTGCCGTAAAATGGGCTGGACAGGGAAAACATCACAAGCCATGCCCCTAAAAACATTACAATACATAATCCCCAATTTCAACCACGCATTGTGGCATGAATACAGTATCACGCACCTATATCACCTCATACAAGGTCAGGAACTTAGAAGTTTCAAGGATATACAAGACTCCTACCACCTCAACGCACAGGTTTCCTTTTCCTATTTACAAATAAAATCCTGGTTCCACAAGAAAACTGTGAATGGGTCTGGAAATGTACAGGAACCACAGCTGACGGCGGTAGAAAAAATATGCCTACGCCTCTCGCCCCCCAAAAAACTAATCTCTGAAATCTACCAATCAATGCACGCACACACTGGCCATACCAAATTCTCTTTCACAACTGCATGGGAGAAAGAATTTAAATATAACCTAACTCCACAGCAGTGGAAAGACATCTTAAAGGCGCACAACTCCCTCTCTAAATGTGCTTCACATATGGAGCTCTCTCGCAAAATCCTATACCGGTGGTATTTAGTGCCCACTCGCATTAAAGCGGCGCACCTCCAAGCATCTGATGTATGCTGGAGATGCCAGCAGCATAAAGGCACGATGCTCCATATCTGGTGGACCTGTCCCATCCTAACCCCATTCTGGGACGTAGTCTCCACCATAATTCAAGAGAGCACAAAAACTATACTACCCAGGACACCCGAAACATACCTCCTACAACTATTCCCAAAAAGGATGGGGTGGAAGCAAAAATACTTAATATATCAACTACTCATGGCAGCCCTCACTGTAATTAGCAGGCACTGGAAATCACCCCTACCAATGCCAACCACCGAACTCACACAATTATTAGACACCACAAGGCTATATGAAATAGCAGCCAGGCGAACCTCCCGCCCAAAGAAGGTCTGGCAAGAGGCATGGGAGGAATGGCACCAATATATGGAGCGCAACAATCTCCTCCCCCCCCCCTTCCCCCACCCCAAAAATGAATGGGAAAGAAGATGGCTAGGACGTGTATCTGCTAACCGACAGCTGTGTTCCTAATGAGTGCACCAAGGCACAAGAATGTACAAACATGTAAAAATACGTTACTTAACAAGGTCAATGTTAGTCACCTCAGGCCTGGGAGTGACACCTACTTCCCCGTTACCCCCCCCCCCGTTACTTCTATAACTGTTTTCATCCTCTCCCAGTGGCACCCCAGATAGGGAATATCCAAATCACCAATGCCATATCTAGAGGAAACATAACTAAATTGTTGAACTATGTAAAATAATGTAACATGACTCTCAAAATGGAAAATGTGAACTCAATCTGTATATGGCAGAACATACAAGCATTACTGACAACGAGGCACCACGAGTGTGCCCACACCAAAGTACAAAGATATGAATGTATACCACTGTCCTCTAACTATTGTCCTTTTCCCCTACCCCCTTTTCTTTCTGTACCCCCCAAAAAAAGATCAATAAAAATTGTCAAAGTTAAAAAATTGGAGATAAGGTCTGATCATTAAATAGATGCACTTTGCACATATTTTTACTAATAAAATTGAGTGTCTACAATTACAATTAGTTAATATCTACAATAGTCTTCAATCTACAAAATTTAGTATTTAACCTCATCTACTTTCCAATTCCTTAATTAATATAGGAAGAAAATAAATATCGATCAAATTCATTTTTAAGTAAAGATTTATTGTGGACATTTTCAATATTATTACATGTGATAAAACAATATGTATTTAAATATATTTTCTATTAATTTCTCACTATTATGCATCGAGCATGCCCATTTGCAAGAAAAAATGAGGGCAAAATATATATATATAAGTGTGGATCGGGACAATGGACTTACTCCGTCGCGTCACTTCCAGTCTTCAGGATTAAGGGTATGTGCCCTTAAGAAAAATGGCCGCAGCGAACAAGGATGTGACGCGAACGGGGGTACCAGGTGATTCCCTATTACCTTAACGAAAGGAGGGTGAGGGAAGTGACCTCACAAGAAATACAATCTCTGATTGGACAGCAATATGAAGGAACCACCCATAAGATGGAAGAACCGGCAGATTTATAAAGCAGCAGAAGGATGAATAATAATACCGATTGAAAAAGCCCACAGAACGCGGGCGAAACGTGTCTCGGACTTGGACTTAAAGCCACACATTGGGACTCATATCAGATAAGATATTTGATTTTATATTGATTTCCTTTTTTAACTTCAATAAATTAGATATTTTAACCATAAGTCCCAGTGGCATCCTGCCGTTTTCTGTTGCTAAAGAAGGGAAGGTACCCAGGCCTATCATCCAGAGCCAGGTTCTCATTGGCTCAGGAAAAGGTGAGCACTACTATAATCACTGCAATTTGCTTTGTTGTCCAAACATAGTACACTAGGAAGTCTCCTGTTTTTGCTTCTTTTTGAGGAAACCATTCCAGATAAAGGGTTTAGTGCCCCCATAAGGCACTAACGCACATACGATTCGAGCCTGTCTTCCTGAGGCTCTATTCCATTTGAGTCCTTAACCCTATTTTAGGGTAAGTGTACACCTTTAGCGCTCCACTCATATAAATAGTACAGTCTGGATATTCCATCCAGACTAAACTAAATTCACTTTGGGTTTATATCCACCAGGTAGACCTATTATTAGTGGAATTGGTTCTCTCACTTCTAGATTATCACAGTTTATAGACCACTTTTTGCAAAGGTATGCACAATCAGCCAGATCCTACTTTAAGGACACTAAACATCTATTGCAGGAATTGGAGTCTATCGAATGGCAAAAGGACCAAATTTGGGCAACACTAGATGTAAGTTCCTTATACACAGTAATGGACCACAATTTGGGTCTTAGAGCTGTGAAAGAAAATCTTGATGGAGGTAAGACCTTAGACTCAGGTTTTACTTCATTTTTACTTGAATCTATATGGTTCATACATACTCACAATTTTTTCATGTTCAATTAAGAATTCTTCCTGCTGGTCACCAGCATTGCAATGGGCACCAGGTTTGCTCCCAGTTATGCCAACATATTTATGGATTGTTGGGAACATACTTCCATTTGGGACAACAATCCATATGGGGGAAACCTGGTGCAAGACTGCTTTAAATATCTCAACAATAATGCTTTTGTATTAGTGTTCACGCCATTTTTCAGTTCTGTTTCCATCGATTTTTTTAGATCTGACCATCTTTATTATAGACTCCGAAATAAAGACAAAGTATCTGATATCTTTAAAGCAACAGATACTAACAGCTTCATCGAGACTAGTAGTGGACATCATCCAAGATGGCTCTCGGGAGTTCCGAAGAGCCAATACACTAGACTCAGACAGAACTGTTCGGATCAAGAAATTTATTTTGAGCAGGCAGAGATTTTGACTAAGAAATTCCTGGAGAAGGGATACAAATTAGAATCTCTACAAACAGAAGTCCAGAGAATTGGTAATATTAGAGGAGACCTCCTTATTGATAAATTTAAACACAAAATAATATTTATAGACCACCCAGGTGCACTATGTGAGCAATCAATACAAAAAGGTAGTTACCCTTTTGGATACAAGGTATAGCAGAAGGATTCCTCTTAATCCTCAAATACAAATAACAAACAACTGGATATACCTAAAAACATAAAACGGAGAAAGAACACATCGAATAATAACATCATTTACAAAACCCCCAGAATTCAAGGTTCCACACAGAGTCACAAAAAACTCAGGCTCATCAATAGTATGTAGGTTTCACCAGGTGCAATGGTATTCAGGCTCCAAAGGTTCATGTGAAAAAAATGAAAAGAAACATAGTGCAACACTGATATAAAGCCCAAATTTGCTGTGACTCTGTGAGTGGAACCTTGAATTCTGGGGGTTTTGTAAAAACGTTATTATTCTATGAGTTCTTTCTCCATTTTATGTTTTTAGGTATATCCAGTTGTTTGTTATTTGATGGTCAGATTGCAAGTCATGATAGAGCAATGGACCATATCAACAGAGGCTCATTTTCAAAACCCTTCATTCAAACCCTACCATTGCATTCAAACCCTACCAGTTTAAAAGTGACATTACATGTATAATAATTTTCTATTTCAGTCTCTATTGTTCATTCTAAATAATCATAAATGGTTAATTTGAAACTCCTCTTGTGATAAATTCAGCACTGCACAAAGGATGCTGGCTATTTCCATTCTTCAATCTATACCTAGCAATGAATCTGTCATAAGAGCCATACATACGTAGAGGATATTGTAAATTTGCTAAATTATACATCCTGGAACATATCCTTACATTTGGTTTCCTATTTTTAAGGAAATCAGACCAATTGATGATTGCTATGTGTACGGATTATTATGCCATCTAAGCACTAATATCTTTCTTTTTATTATTAATATATTCACGTTTTTATTATGATTAAACTATATCAATACGTTACATTAAAAAAAAGTTATTCTATTTTCTTATTTATATTTGCACCTACTTTGCAACATATTTCAGTTGCACCAAACTTTCAGTTTGTGTCTGACAGACAATATGTTAAAACATGCCATGTTTATAATTTGCACATTAAGTAGAGTCCTTTAGTGTATAAAGTGTAACAAAAACCACAATGCTTTAACCCTTTAGTGATTGAGGTTTTGTCTGAGATTTAATGCTTTGGTATCTGAAACCAGAGCTGGATTACTATTAGGCAGGATATGTGGCAACCTAGCCCCCCAGGTTAGAGAGCGGCCCTGTCTGGGCCAGGATCTCTGGCTCTGGCTTTGGGTGGTCCTCTGTGAGCTAGCAGGGATCCCCCTGCAAGACCCTTCTGCTCCTATAGCCGGATCTGATGTGGTTATGTGTCATTCGATATCTTTACGCATTACATGAGAATGCAAAACACTATAACATTTCTACATGTCTGTATTCCTAACGCAATAGTGTTCCTTTAATCCGACCTTGCCTGAAACTGCTTTAAGCACTTTTTCTATGTTTCATCCACTGTGATTATTACATTACAGCACTGGGAATTTCTCTGGCAAGGGCAACTGGACCTATTATGGCCTCTAAACAACGGTGGTATGTTGCCAGTTATTATTCTCTTCATTCCAACTAAAGGACCTTCACATCCAGTTGCTGGCCCATAATGATGGAAACTTGGGCATATCTCTGCTGATTTTGTTCTTTTGTGTTTATTTTTTTTTTATTTAGTTAATTTTAGTCTCTAATACTACGCTCCAGGCTTACACCTTACCCAGAAGGGTGCGCAAGATATCGACTTCCCCCAACACACACACACTTGATAATAAGTCAAATGATGTTTATCACTATGGTGCCTGGCCAGATGAGCCTTCTTCTTAAAGAGGTTATTCTACTTAACATAACTATGAACATCTTTATAACTCACCCTCTTGCCGCCAATTTGTTTGGTAGCAGTGTACTGCTTTGTTATTTTTTTTAAACAATTTGGTGTGTGTTATCGCTCGCATGTAAACCTTTATACTGAAAATTGTGGATTACGTTAACTATCTGCTCAGTTCTATAATGAATGTCTTACTCCACAACAACAATAAAGAATTTAAAAAAGACACAAATAAAAATTGGGCTTTCATTGAATGCCATATCTTAATATATTTTAAAAAATGCTGTTAATAAACAGTTTAAATAAATTAAAAGTGAAAATGATGTTTCATGATTAGAATAATATCCTGCAAACATAGTGCAAACAAAGAAAAATACCTCCAAATTGTTGTATTTAGCCTGATTGCAAAAATGCCTAATAAATCTAAGATTTAAATCAATTTCTTAAAATTATAGAGTAAATATTACAAGACCTCAAGGAGTGAATTGCTGTTTCAAAGCTAAACAATTGTAAAATACACTTTGTGGGAGCTATTGCATTGCATTGATAAAGGGGATAAATCTTTTTGTAGCACTTGGTGTGCACATTTGCAATTGTTTGCTCTACTCTAATTTTTTCTTTTTTTTGTGTATAGTTTAAATACTTTGTTTCCCTGAAGAAGTCTAAGCATTTAGACGAAACGCACAGGGCTATTTTATTTGGTTATTTTAATAATTTCTTTATTTATTGGTTTTCATTTCATGTGTTTTGTGTGTCATGCACTTTACCTAAGGAGACAAAATGCACCTTTACCCTACACCAGATCTTTTCCATTGGACTGCTGCTGCTGGCAGCCCATTTGAATGCTTATTTTGTAAGTTTTCCTTATATTAGATCAGTGTTTTATGTTAACCTGTTTTTACACTATGCTTCTGTTTTCCATATACATCTGCAATATTGAGGAATATCTGAAGAAATGATCCTGGTATAATAAGTACCTACTGTGACAAACTCCCTTTTTCCTGTGAGTTTGCCACAAGTTTTTGGAGGGGCTTGTAATGATATCAGGGTGGGTGACAGAGTAAGAGGTGGGGTGACAGGGTGAGAAGTGGGGTGACAGGGTGAGAGGGAGGTGACAGGTGGGGTGACAAGGTGAGAGGGGGGTGACAGGTGGGGTGGCATGGTGAGAGTGGGTGAGGGATGTGGGGTGGCAGCGTGAGAGGGGGTGACAGGTGGGGTGACAGGGTGAGAAGTGGGGTGACAGGATGAGAGGGGGTGGCAGGGTGAGAGAGGGGGGACAAATGGGGTGGCAGGGTG